CCAAGGCTGTAGGTTTAATCTCCAGTTGGGGCTATGTTTCTCTCTCTCACTCTCTCTTCCTTCTCTCTAAAGTCAATATATAAAAAGATTTTTTTTTTTTTTTTTTGTTACAGATGTTTCTCCTTTTTTACCCCATTGACACCCTCCTCCCCATCCTCCCACCCCGTCCCTGGCTTTGTTGTCCATGTCCATTGGTTATGTATACATGCATATAAGTTCTGTGGTTTATCTCTTCCCACCCCCCACCATCCCCTCTTCTGAGGGTTGTCAGTCTGCACCCTACTTCCGTGTTTCTGGGTCTATATAAAAAGATTTTTAAAAAGCAAATAAAAATTATTAAATTTTGAATATATGAGGAAGTAGACTACCTTGAAGTGATATCACTAGGTACCACTCAAAATTTCTGAGAGCTATCACTCAAAACCACAGTATCATGTTGACCTTAAGTAAAAAAAGATAGGGGTAGTCCTGGCTGGTTTGGCTCAGAGGATAGAGCATTGGCCCATGGACCAGAGAGTACTGGGTTTGGTTCCTGCTAAGGGCATGTACCTCTGTTGCAGTTTGTCCCTGGCCCCGGTTGGGGTCCTGTGAGTGGTGACCACTTGATGTGTCTCTCTCTTGTCGATGTTTCTCTCTTTCTCTCTTCCTCCTTCTCTCCCTCCCGCTCTGTCTGAAGATAAACACAAAAAAGTCCTCGGGTGAGGATTAAAAAAAGGGGGGGGGTATATTAATGATCTATGCTGTTAATTGACGCTATTAACTTAAGTGAAGGTAATCGTAAGAAACTAGTCTTCACAAACTAATCTTTGCAGATAGATGTGTAACAAGAATGACCCCATCAACCCTAACTTGATTAGTGAAAGTTAGCTTGCGTTTCTTGGTATGGACTGAGAATAGATGAATAAATAAGTTTCTATTAGCCCCTTCTTTTAGTATCAGGGAAAGCATAGTATTGGTTCAGTCTTTCAAACTCAAATTTTAATTATATAATTATAATGTATATGTATTGTGTATATAATTATAGCCTCATAAATATATAACTTCAAACACACCATTTATTATGTATTATTTTCAAGTCTGTTGAGTTCAAGTTAAACTTTCTATGGGAAGTTGTGGCACTTTCAGAACATTTTAAGACACTTTCTCTTGAAAGAATTGATAAAAGATAGTGAAAAGACAAAGGTACTGTATCATGGTTATACTATAACCCTATTTGTGTAAAAAAGTGGAAGGGTATATATTCATAAATATTTGTGTATGCATATGAGTCAGGGGTAGGATTACTTTTTTCACTGTGTGTATATAATCGTTCAAAATATACAAAATAAAAACTAAAAGAAAGAAGTATGACACTTCAAGGGATCTATCTCAAAACCAAGATTAAGACTATGCTACAAAGTTAAATTAGATTACCTTGCTTGAAGTTACATTTTCCAATAGGGCTTTCATCTTTAAATAAATTGGTTTAAGATTGAGTTCTGCAAAGTTGCATGAAGGAAAATGCTAAAGAACAATGCCATTTTAAAATTCATATTGCCACATGTGGGTACTATAAACTGGAGTACTGAGATTTATTTTCTTCCTTCCTTAGGTTAGTCAGTTGATGTAATGTATTAACTGTTATCTCTATATTGTAACCCCGGACGACAGTCGTCCCTTGCCACTTCGTGCTTTGACTTTCACGGCTTCACTCTATCGTGGTTTTTTAAAATATATTCATTAAAAAGTTGATTGAGACCATGAAAATGATACAGCTCGGGCTCAGTTGTCTGAGTCAAATATACACCCCGTACTACAATTAAAATTACTGTACATATGGACTGTGGGCCTATGTATTCAAGCACCGCTGCAAATCCTTCAATGCCAGGTGCAACTGCTGGACCACTACTTGTGTGTGGGCAATAACTTTTTTCCAAAAAATCGGATGTGGTGAAACCAAGCCAATCAGAGCATGCTGTTCACTGATTGGCTATCCTATCCTCTTCCTATCCTGGCCACTGATTGGCTCAGCCTCATGCAAGTTTGTTTCTCTCATACACGCTTCTACATTGCTATGCATAGGAACCATCTTTGCTCTTGTGTTTGTGATTTCTGAGAACTTGTATCTAAGCCCCACAATGGCTCCTAAACGGGCTGCTTCTTCTAAGCCTTCTGACAATAAAACTAAGTGCCAGAGGAAGATGCTTACCATCCAGGAGGTGAAACTCTTGGATATGATAAAAAATGGCAAGAAAATCGTGGAGGTTGCCCGCCATTACAACTTGAATGAGTCTACCATTCGCTCCATCCGTGAAGAAGAAACAGCTACTGCCTCTTTCCAAGGAGGAAAAGCGTGTCGCGACAAGTTGTAATAAGTCCATAGTGAAAACGAAGTCTGCCCTAGCCATTTGGATCAGCGACAGCCACAAGAAAAACATTCCATTGGATTCGCTGGTCATCTGGGAGAAGGCAAGGCAGCTCTATCAGTGCTTTATGGCAGATGAACCTCAACCAGGACCCTCTTCTGCAACGTTCATGGATTTCACGGCGAGCAAGGGTTGGTTTGAGAAGTTCCAGAAGAGGTATCATCTGAAGAGTGTCATTCTCCACGGAGAAGCTGCTTCTGCTGACCAGCCTGCAGCAGAGGACTATGTGAACAACACATTCCAAAAGATCCTTGAGGGCAAGTATCATCCAGAACAGGTGTTCAATATGGACGAAACAGGACTGTTCTGGAAAAGAATGCCTTCCCAAACATTCATTTTCAAGGATGAGGCCAAGGTCCATGGCAAGGATGTGGATGAGCTGCTGGAGACACATTTGGATCCCTTACCTGACAAGGATCTGGTGGAGATAACTAAGTCTACGAGTGAGGAGGAGGAAGAGCAGCCAGAGGTTCCTGGGGGTCAGGAGGAGAAGGAAGTTGGCCTTACATTTGAGCATCTCTCTCAAATCATGAGAACTATTAAGGTAGTATAGGCCCTGGCCAGTTTGGCTCAGCGGTTGAGCATCGGCCTATGGACCAGAGAGTTCCGGGTTCAGTTCCTGCTAGGGCACATACCACCACCAAAAAAAAAAAGGTAGTATAGGACATGATTGGCAAATGGGACCTACAAATGATGCGTGCATTGCGGTTCCAGAATGCACATGATGGAGCGATAGAACCCTACAAAAGCCTCCTCACACATATGAAAAGACAGTGCCAGCAACTGCCTATCACAATGTTCTTCAGCTACGCACCCAGACACCCACTGCCTACTCCTAGTACTCCTTCAACGGAAGAAGACGACGCACCTGCTGAAAATACTGCACCACCTGAAGACTCTCCTACTGAGGTCCTGCCTTCAGAGGAGCAGTAATCTTGCTTTTCTTTGCTGTGTAGTACACCTCTTCATCTTCATCTCACCTTCATCGCTTCTTCATCGAACAAGTTGCATTATTTTCATAGGTTAGTGGTTCTGTGTAAGAACTGTGTGTATGTGTAATTAAACGTATAATAATGATACTTGTTATGTCTAATATGTCTTATTTTTTCTCATTTTGTCTAATATATTGGGTAATATGAGTGTAATGGTGACTAAAGGGTGTTATTTCATGTCTAGAGAGCTCTAATAATGTTAAAACCCTATTTAAAAAGTCGTAAACAGGTTTTCTATGCTCTGCGAAAATATTCTATTTATAAGTAAAGAATCCTACTTCGTGGAAATTTATTTATCCCGGTAGAGTCTGGAACTGATTAACCGCAATAAATGAGGGCCGGCTGTATATATCATCAGTATCCAGTCACCTGTCGAATGCGTGATGGAAGGGGGCAGGGAAGGGCAGGAATAGAAATTTCAAAAGACTGCAAAATTCATCCTTCTTTTAGAACACAGTTCAAAAGGTGTATTTTCCTCATGGTAAGCCAGGGGGAAGGTATGGCTTATTATTAGATACCCAATAAATACTCTACTAGTAGACTAAGGTAGTATATATAAATAGTCCATTAGTCCAGAAAAGAGAGTCTCAATTTGTTCTTTGAATCGCCAAGGGTTTTTTCCTGCCCCCTTCAGTTAATCACAGAATACTGATTAAACACAAAAATCACTATTTCTTCTTCTTTTTTTTAGTCCTCACCAGAGGATATTTTTCCATTGATTTTCAGAGAGTGGGAGGAATGGGGAAAGAGAGAGAGGATGGTGGAAGGGGGGGGGGGGGAGAGAGAGAAACATCCCGGAGAGAGAGACACATCCACTGTTTGCCTCAACAGGAGGCCTGTGCCCTAACTGCAACTGAGGTATATGCCCTTGACCAGAATGAAAGGGGGACTCTTTGGTCTGCGGGACCACTTCTAATCAGTCAGGGCTGTTTCTTTTTTTTTGTTTATCCTCACCCAAGGATACTTTTCCATTAATTCTTAGAGTGGAATGGAGGAAGGGAGAAAGAGAAAAGTCACATCTGTTGGTTGCCTTCCTCAGGACCCTGATCAGGCCAGAATCTGCAACCCAGGCACGTGCCTTTGAGGGGTAACCAAACCTGTGACCCTTCGGTCTGCAGACCCACGCTCTAACCGCTGAGCCAAATGGGCCAAGGCCGAAAACAAAAACAAAACAAGCAAACAAACAAAATCACTCTCTAGAAATACTTTCTTCATTTGGCTTTCAGTGAAGCTACACTTATTTCTTCTTACTGGCTATTCTCATTCTCTTGTCATTCAGTCAGCAATGTCTGTGTGATCTTGAACAGGTAACTTAATTTCTCTGCGCCTCACATCTGTAAAAGGCGTTTTTAGCATAGTCATCGCTCACTAAAGGAGAGTTATATATTGTTCCTTGTTAACTACCACAAAGGCTCGGCTCCGCGTGTCGGCCCTTGCCCGCCCTGAGGCAACCCAGCGCACCGCGGAAGAAGATGAGCAGCGTCAGGAACACAGCGGGGAGGAAATGAGCAATGCTTGCCACGCCCGGAACCAGAAAGACAATCCGGGCGAGCTCCTTACACTCTCGCGCAGTTCCGCCCCCGACAACGCGAACGGAAGGCAAGTGGATACAGTCCAAGCGAGGCACCGCCTCCTTCAGGTAAGGGAAACCCTGTCCCGGCCCAGCAACTTCCGGCTTGGCGCATTTTTCCCTTTCATCCTCTAACTGCACTTTCGATAAAACCATGGAATCTAATATATTCCTTATCGCGCCTCTGTATTTTCTTCATTTCCCCCTATTTATAACTCAACTTGAAGATAAAAATTAATCTGCGAGCAATTAGACAGACGCGGCTACAGAAAAAAGGAGCACGTGAGCGGCCCTGGCGAAAGTGCCTAATAGGAGCGCCTCCGCCCTTTCCTCGCCCACCGGAAGTTGCGGGACTGAATGGGTCCCCGAGCCGGTGGCTGCATCTGCTCTGTTACCACCTGAGGCTTAGCGGCAGCCGGTCCTGTCAGCCGCTGGGCCACCAGGTTCATGTGGAGGCTCCCAGGCGCCCGCGTCGCGCTTCGTGGGGTCCGCGCGGCCGTGGAGCGACACAGTCGGACTGAGGCAGCGATTGAGACCGCGGCGGTCTCCATGGAGCGCGCGGTAGTGCGCTGTGTGCCCTCCGAGCCTAAGCTAAGCCTGTCGTTCGCGCTGGCCGATGGCAGCCACAAGAACATGCAGCGCGACCAAAGCGAACCACTGGGTCGGGCCCTCAGCCGGATCGCCACCAACGCCCTCAAAGGCCACGCTAAGGCGGCCGCCGCCAAGAAGAGTAGGAAGAATCGGCCAAACGCAAGCGGCGGCGGAGCCTGTGCGGGGCCTGGGCCCGAGCCGACTGCGGCCTGCGAGCCCGTGGTGAAGCTGTACTACCGGGAGGAGGCCGTGGCTGAAGACGTGCTCAATGTGGACGCCTGGCAGGATGGCGCGGTGCTGCAGATCGGCGATGTTAAGTACAAGGTGGAGCGCAACCCGCCTGCCTTCACCGAGCTGCAGTTGCCACGCTACATCATGGCCGGCTTCCCGGTTTGCCCGAAGCTCAGCCTCGAATTTGGGGATCCCGCCGGATCCCTCTTTCGCTGGTACAGGGAAGCCAAACCCGGATCGGCGGAGCCTGAGGGCGGGGGCCCCTCGTCATTGTCTCCCTCCTCTCCCTATCCTAGTTGGACCGAAACGGGTGTGGACGAGCGCGTCTACACCCCGTCCAATGCCGACATCGGGCTACGGCTCAAGCTTCGTTGCACTCCAGGGAATGGTCAGCGCTTCGGGCCAAGCCGGGAGTTGGAAAGTGTGTGTCCAGTGGAGGCCGGGCCGGGCACTTGCACCTTTGATCACCGGCATCTCTACACTAAGAAGGTGACGGACGACACATTCATCCGCACTGTCTCCTACAACATCCTCGCTGACACGTACGCCCAAACTGAGTTTTCGCGGACGGTCCTGTACCCGTACTGTGCCCCTTACGCCCTGGAGCTCGACTACCGCCAGAACCTTATCCAGAAGGAGCTCACCGGCTACAACGCCGACCTCATATGTTTGCAGGAGGTTGACCGCAGCGTGTTCACAGACAGCTTGGAGCCGGCCCTCGAGGCTTTTGGGCTGGAGGGCGTGTTTCGAATCAAGCAGCAGGAAGGCCTGGCTACTTTCTACCGAAAGTCCAAGTTCAGCCTCCTTAGCCAGCATGACATTTCTTTCCATGAAGCCCTGGAGTCCGATCCACTTCACAAAGAATTGCTGGATAAATTAGTTTTGAACCCATCGGCACAGGAGAGAGTGTTCCAGAGATCTTCTGTCCTTCAGGTAAAGTAGCTCCGCCAGTCTCTTTACATACCCGTCATTTTTAGGGCCCTGGAAAGGAAGTGGGGGTGAGGCTGCTTCTAATTGAGATGAAATCATGTAGATTTTACTGAAAGGTGTTCGCCTTGTATCTTCAGCACAAAGGTTAACCTTCATTCATTCACTGAGCAAATACTTAATGAGCACTCCAGTGTGCCGAGCACGTGGCAGGTTGCCTTGAACAGGACAAACAGGGACTTTATATTAGTGCTTACAATCTAGTGCAAGAGACATGTGCTAAATACAAGAATAATGATAATTACTTAGTATTTTCTTACTACTTGCCAAGAACTGTTCTGACACATTCTAAAGAACTTAAGTGTCTGACATGTTTTACAAAGTGCTCCATAAATATTAGCTATTATTTTAATGTTTGGTTCATAGTAATCCTGCTTTTCCCATTATTTAGATGATATTCTTCCCATTTTACAAATTGGAAAATGGCCAAGTTTACTTACCCAAGTTCACACAAGTGTGAAGCCAGGATTCTTACAGTTTGTTATATATTCCATTATCACTGGGTAGGGTATTTACTACTTAGCTTAAGCTATCTTAGTTTTTTTTTAAAAAACGTGCTTATTTTGTGTATGTCCAGTTTTTGTTTTGTTGATAATAAGAAAAGTAGCTACCATTTTATTCAGACCTATTCTATTGTGTTTCATGCACCTCCGTGTGAGCTCATTTAATTGAATCAACACCAGGTCTCCCTTGAGGGGTGATGATAATTGTCTCTTGTTTTGCAAATGATAAAGTTGATTTAGAAAAAAAGTGTCTCTTTTCAGATCACACTGCTGTAAATGTTAGAGTGGGTATTCAAACATAGGTCTTCCTTACTCCAAAGCCTGCGCTTACCTACTTCAAAACATTATCTCCAACTTTGGTGATGTCATCTAAAATATATTCTTTTTTTTATTTTTATTTTTTTATCCTCACCCGAGGATATTTTTCCATTTTTTTTGTACAGATAGAGTGGGAGGGAGAGAGAGAGAAACATCGACGTGAAGGGACACATCGAGTGGCTGCCACCCGCACGACCAACCAGGGCCGGGGACAGACTGCAACCGAAGTACATGCCCTTAGCGGGAACCGAACCTGGGTCTCTCCGGACCGCAGGCCGACGCTTTAACCGCTGAGCCAAACTGGCCAGGGCTAAAATATATTCTTTTTCTACTTCCTATATATGTTGGACTGTTACTAAAACATGTTACACTTTGTCCTATTCATTTATACAGTAGTCCCCCTTAACCATGATTTTGCTTTCTATGGTTTCAGTTACCTGCTCCCTGAAAATATTAAATGAAAATTTTCAGAAATAAACAATTCATACATTTTATTTTTATTTTATTAATTTTTTTTATCCTCACCTGAGGACATTTTTCCATTTTTTGTTCAGATAGAGTGGGAGGGAGAGAGAGAGAAACATCGACGTGAAAGGTACACTTTGAGTGGCTGCCACCCGCACAACCCAACCTGGGCCCGGACAAACTGTAACCCACGTCCGTGCCCTTAGCGGGAACCAAACCCGGGTCTCTCTGGACCACAGGGTGACGCCCTAACTGCTGAGCCAAACCGGCCAGGGCAACAGTTCATACATTTTAAATTGTCTGCTGCTCTGCCCTGGCAGATATGGCTCAGCAATTAGTGCATCAGCCTGCGGACCAAAGAGTTGAGGGTTCGATTCCGGTCAAGGGCATATTGGTGGTTTTCAGTTAGGTCCTGATCGTGTGGGAGGCAGTCAGTCGATGTGTTTCTCTCACATCAATGTTTCTCTCTCTCCCTCTCCCCTTCCCTCCCACTTTATCTGAAGATAAATGGAAAAATATCCTCGGGTGAGGATTAAAAAAAATTGCTGCTCTGAATATCGTGATGAAATCTCTCGACTTCCTGCTCCGTCCAACTCAGAACATGAATCATCCCTTTGTCCAGTATATCCAAGCACTATAGGCTACCTGCCCATTAGTCACTTGGTAGCTGTCTTGGGCATCAGATGGACTGTCATGGTGCCACAGTGCTTGTGCAAGTAACCCTTATGGTAGCCTAACACTGTGTCACAATGCCTATGTCTTCACCTCTCTTCATTCTTCACATAGAGAATAATGCAATATTTTGAGAGATCGCATCCACATTACTTTTTTTTTTTTTTACAGTATAGGCAGTGTTATAATTGTTCTATTTTATTATTAGTTATTGTTAATCTATTGTGCCCAATTTATAAATTAAACTTTATCATAGTTATGTATGTATAGGAAAAAACATAGTGGATATAGAGAGTTTGGTACTTTTTGTGGTTTCAGGCATCCATTGAGGATCTTAGACTACACCCCCTGTGCATAAGGGGACACTACTGTATACAAAAACTTTAAGCCCTGGTTGGAGAGCTCAGCTGGTTAGAGAGTCATCCTGATATGCTAAGGTTCTGGGTTCCATCCCTGGTCAGGGCACATATAGGAATCAGTAAAGAAATAGAGTAACAAATCAGTGTATTCCCCCAGCCTGCCCCCGCCCCCTGGGCCAAAGTTGATTTTTAAAACAATTTAAAAAAAACAACTTTTAACAACAGTTACATTTCACAGTTATGATCATACTTCATCAGTATGGGAAGGATATAGAATAAAATGTTAGTTCATCATATAGTCTTAGATAAAAAACATCCAGACATGGGCAGATAGCAACTAAAGTCTTGGTACTTTATGTTTTAGGTTTCTGTTTTGCAGTCTACAAAGGACTCTTCTAAAAAGATATGTGTTGCTAATACCCATCTCTACTGGCATCCCAAAGGTAGGTTTTATTGGTTTTCGCAAGTGATTTAAACATGATAACTTAAGGTCATTAAAGCAGTTTTACAAAAATATATTTTTTTTCTTTCCAGTTTATTGAGATATAATTGACATAACAGCACTATACAGGTTTAAGATGTATGTCATGACTTGAGTTACATACATTGCAAAACAATTACCACAACAAGCTTATATAGATACAAAAAAAGGTGAGGTTTTTTCTTGTGATGAGAATTTTCAGGATTTACTCTCTTAGCAACTTTCAAATATGTCATACATTCGTGTTAACTATACTCATCGTGTTTTACATTAAATCCCCAGTACTTATTTACCTTATCACCAGAAGTTTGTACCTTTTTTACCATCTTTATCTAATCCCCACCACACACACATATGCACCTTGAATGTCACCCAAATGCTGTAGTTTGTGACTCTTTATTTTTAACTTAAAAGGCAATTTTTAAAAGTACTTACATTATTGTTTTTTATATTCATAGGTGGGTACATTCGTCTCATTCAAATGGCAGTAGCCTTGGCTCACATTAGACATGTCTCATGTGATCTGTATCCTGGCATACCAGTTATATTTTGTGGGGACTTCAATAGTACTCCATCAACAGGAATGTATCATTTTGTCATCAATGGCAACATTCCAGAGGATCATGAAGACTGGGCTTCCAATGGGGAAGAGGAACGATGCAACATGTCTCTTACCCATTTCTTGAAACTGAAAAGTGCTTGTGGTGAACCTGCTTACACAAATTATGTTGGTGGCTTTCATGGATGTCTGGATTACATTTTCATTGACTTAAATGCTTTAGAGGTTGAACAGGTGATTCCACTACCTAGTCATGAAGAAGTTACCACCCACCAGGCCTTACCTAGTGTTTCTCATCCCTCTGATCACATAGCACTTGTATGTGATTTAAAATGGAAATAGACTTGTGGTTAATGGAATTTAAGTCTGCTTTAGTAAGGGAAATTTAATATGAATCAAAGTTTATGTGTAACCTTCAAAGAGGAAAACTAAACACTAAGTTCTTGGTTCTTACCCTACTAGTTATGTTCTAGTGTCTTCATTACATGACTATTCATAATCTTTTCATAATACAGTTTCTGTACCCTCCCTCACACACACACACACACACACACACACACAGTTACACTTGGAGGAAAAACAAATATATTTATGACTGGCAGGGAACATTGAATTATTGTGTACATTTTATAAGTCCTTTTTTTAGCCTCGTAATTAAGAATTTTGTAAAAGACCATTTGAATGATGCTAAAATTTTTCTATCATAACACATATTTCAAATTGAATCATGTTTATATAATTAGGGGGGACATGCATACAAGTTAAGGTGAGAGGCCTAAGTTCTGATTTATGGAAGGAATAACATTAGGGCCTACCTCTACCTCAATTTGGTAAGCAATTTAATACAAATTCAGAGCTTTAACAAAAGTTTAAATATACCATCACTAGTTGTTATTGCTTCTCATTTTTCATTTCTCAATTAACATATTTTCATTCTCTTATTTTTAGGATTTCAGTTGTTTGTGTATGGTACAAATGAGCATATTCATATTCTTTTTCTTACTGCAGCTCATTTTAAATTTTAGGATGCAGGCACAATTTAATATTCAAAAAGAATAGCCACGTAGTCAACTTGATCACAATTTACTCTTGCCCATGAAAAATGCTTATAAATGAACAGGGAATGTGGCCATGTGATATTAGAGAATACATTATGAGAAACTGCTTACTGATATGGGCTTTAAATTTTGGGTGAACTATTGAGCATTTCTATGCTAGAAGTATTTTTGAAATTGTTGGTTTTATAAATAGAAAGGGGAGTAGTGGGGCTTTTGAGCATATCGGAAATAAACTATTCCTTTTACAGTCTTGAGCATTACAGTTTGAGTTACAGGTACATATTGTATATATAATTTATATACTGTAAAAAAATTAATATTAAGCCAAACTTTCTAAAATTATGAGTTACAGTTTTACTGATTAGGGTCTAGTCTAGAGTGGTAATCAACCTTTTCTAACTCAGTTATCACCATACCTAATTAGTAATGCTTTAGCTGTTGCTTTTTGTTGCTTAGGAAAACTGTAATGTTATCTCATTTCTTCATTTAATTTAAATATTAAATATTAAAAGCCTACCCACTTCAAGAAGAGCTCTGATTTTCCACTGTTATGAGAGCCTTTTTTCCAAATTCTTTTATCTTTAAGCTCAATACTGTAAGAACTTTACTCCTTTGATAAAGAGTACTTTCATATTCTGCTCACTATCCCATGTATTTTAACTCTTAGTTTAGTAAGTTTGAGAATGAGAGGGTTTTACATGCACTTCAGATTGAACCTTGAAGTACTTAGAAGTACTTGAGGGGAAAAATTAAGGTGGCAGTTTCTTGGGATCTTTTTTAGAAAAAGATATAAATGAAAATTGATGTTACCAAACTGTGCTTTCCTAAATAACATTTTCAGACCATTTTAACATCAGTTTACAAATACATAAATATTAAACCAGAATCTGATTCTTTTGCAAAAATATTTTTTTCTTTTTAAAATTTGGTTTTGGTCTGCTTTCAAATAAACATGTTGACAGGGCTTTTACAGTAACTTGAGAGAAAATGAAAGCTTCTAAGCAAAAATCTGAGAAATACTTTGAAAGGAAAAATTGTAACATGATATACTCATGCCCACGAGAAAAACATATAGGTCCTATATTAACAACATTGCTAGCTAAATTAAACTCTGGTCAGAAAAACTCTAAACACTTGCAAACATTCCATGTCTGGAATCTAAATTTTTTATTTGCTGACTAAACTGTGTGATCAAATTGTATAAAAGCATTTCTGAATATTTAAATATAGAATATTATGAAATGCCACATATTCTGGTTAAATCTTCAGTATACAGATATGTTAGCATGATTGGAGTCCAAAGAGGGAACACTAAGACAAATAGCATACCAAAATTTCCTTGTAGTCAAGTTAGAATAAAGCATCATTCAGAAACGTTTGTGTTTAAAGCCATCATTGTGACTGAATTTTTCAATTACATTTGGATTTTTAGTACATTTAATTTTAATAAAATATGGAAAGTCTCGCAATTATGGAACCACATTTTAAGATGTCATTTGTTCTTACTGTAGGAATTAACATTCTAAAATTTTATATTGATACTGAGAATTTATAGAACACATTATCTTGTTCATTAAATTTTTGCATAGTTGCCACTATACATATACACTGGTAGTTCATAATTCATTAGCAAACAAATCATTTCTGGCTGTACTGTAATGTTCTTTAAGATTCTGAATACTATTATCAGTTGTTTTAAATTTCCAAGAATTTCACTTGGGTGATGACTCTTCTAAGAGAATTAAGACCTGATTATCATCAGAATGTGGTGGTTTCAGTCTGGAGTTAGATCTCGTAGGAACATAATCCAAGGGAGAGAAGGTCCAGAGAATACTACTGTGGGAAGATCTCCCTCCTGGAAACTGACACCTTGAGACTCATATTCTCCAGCAATACAGGCAGAAGTTCCCTACAAATTAGTTTGAAACAAAAGCAAAACCTATATATAATGAAGGGTAAAAGTTTGCACTACTAGTTTATCACAAGACCCACATAACAACTCAATAGGGAAAATCCTCCAAAAAATTAGTCAACACTGATTTTCTAAACATTACTAAAAAACATTTTGTTTTAAAATTTTTAATGTTTTGCTCAATATGGTACTGGAAGGAAATGCTATCTAGATTTCATTTTGGAAGATGAAACAACTTTCTTTAAGAGCTTTAACTGATTTGGGTAATATTCCAATTCATAAAGCCCCACTTTATGAGAAAGTCCATGCTGTAACTTGTTTAAGGTATAAGAGTTGTATCTGGGTGATTTTTGTAGCACTAACTTTAGATGAACAACATTCTGAGATAACAATACGAAAGCATTTTTTAAATTGAAGTGAAATCCACATAAAAATAACCATTTTTAATGTGATTCAGTGGCATTTAATACATTCATGATGTAGTGCAATCATCATTTCTAGTTCCAAAACAATTTCATCACCTCAAAAGGAAACCCCTTATCCATTGATTAAGCAGTCACTCCCCCTCCCCTCCAGTTTTGGCAACTACTAATCTGCTTTGTACCTCAGTGGATTTCCCTATTCTGGATATTTCATATAAATGGGATCATACAATATTTGACCTTTTGTGTCTGGTTTCTTTCACTTAGCACAATGTTTTTAAGGCTAATTCATGTTGTATTGGTATTTCATTCCTTTGTATGGTTATACCATATTTTGTTTATCCAAAAAGACATTTAGGTTGTTTCTATCTGTTGGGTATTGTGAATAATGCTGCTATGAACATTTGTGTTTAAGTTTTGTTTGGACACGTTTTTAATTCTTTCAGTTATATACCTAAGAGTGGTTGCTGGGCCATATGATAATTGTGTTTAACTTTTTGAGGAGCTGCCAAATGTTTTCCACAGTGGTCACACAATTTTACATTCCCACCAGCAATGTATGAGTTTTAATTTCTCCATATCCCCACCAATTTATTTTACATTTTTTTAATTTTATTTTTCTTCCTTAATGATTTTAGAGAGACAGGAAGTGAAAGGGAGAGAGAGAGAGAGAAACATCGAAGGGAGAGAACATCGATTGGCCACCTCCTGTATGCCCCCCACTGGGGATTTGGCCCACAACCTGGGCATGTGTCCTGACCAGGAGTGGAACCAGTGACCACTGGTGCATGGTCGACGCTCAACCGTTGAGCCATACTGGCCAGACACATTTCTTAAATTTTAATCATCAAAGTGGATATAAGGTGGTATCTCTACCAATGTATTTTAAACTTGTTTAGTCCAATCATTTATGTTATTACAATCATGAACTACATTATTCACAGTGGATTATACTGTATTTTTTTCTCAGAGAGCTCATCTTCAGCAAGTCCTACTTATTTTTACAAGCTTGTGTCAAGTTAGAAAGGTCAGTCTTGTTGCTTGTTTTGAAAAGATTTGGGAAGAAAATGTTACACACACACACAACCAAAGCCCTGGAGTGTAAATAAATTAAGAGTTAGAAGTCTAAGATAACAAAAAGTGGGTCTACTTCAGTGATTTCAGAGACTGAATTTGCTTACTAATGTTAGCTTACTAATGCTTTAGTTATGTTCCACTATTACCCATGACTTTTAAAATCCCAAATTAGGTACAGAGTAGCAGCAGATAGCAGCAAGAGTACCTAAATACTAATTCCTGAGAAAACTATGAGTTGTCTATGGCTGAATATACCTTACCAAGTTATAATGCATAATCATAAAGAGAGACTAAACTCTGATTATTACAAATCTTAGGTTTTATTTATTTATTTTTCTTTATTGATTTTAGAGAGAGAGGGAGAGACAGAAACATCGATGAGAGAGAACATTGATTGGCTGCCTCCTGCATGCCTCCCACTGAGGATTTGGCCCTCAAACTGGGCATGTGCCTGACTGGGTATCAAACCTGCGACCTCTTGGTGCATGGATTGATTCTCAACCACTGAGCCACACCAGGCCAGGCTTAAAAATCTTAGGTTTTGAAACGAAACCTTAAATTCAAGCTTTAAAAAACATATTGAACTAATATAACTTTAAAAATTATAATATAAAAAAAATTTTGTAAGTTGGCCATCTTCACAGAGTATTGAATCATATTGAAGCGAGGTGCTAAAATTTATATATATATGATTGATAATCTATAAATTGTAGACCTTAAAAATACTAAATCTTTTAGTTCAGTTAGCTGCCACACTCAATATAACTAGTAATTAACAGCTGGATTCATTCTACTAACAAACTAGATTGTCAAAATCCATGTTCATATTGTTAGTGTTACGTTTTTACTCACAATTTTCAATTTCCTTGAGAAATTTCACTAAAAACAAACTGAACCATCTCCATCTTGTCCATTTTGCATTGATGGTATGTCAAAGGGTTTACATAATACAATCCATTTTGCCCAGAACTCTAATAACATTATCCTAGAGTGTTGCTAAAGTACATCTCCTTACTGTATTGAACTATTCTTAGTTTGTATTTTTGCTGACTTCATCTCATTTGTGTTCTATAATTGAAAACAGTTCAGGAGGGAATTGCATAGGCTTTATTTATTTAGTTGGCTTACTTCCAATATACACACTTTTCAAAGTATTGTATATAATCTTTATTTCCCTTGTGGAATAGTTTGAAGAAATGGTGTATCCACAGATACAATTACTTAGAAACAAAGCTTGGCCCTTCCTCAGAAAGTCTGGGTGAAGTATAGTGTTTTGGATATAAAACCAAAGAATGTTTCTGAAGCTGTAGAATTTTTAATTGTTGTAAATAATAATGTAATTACATTACTGTTTATTACACACCTAAAGAAATCTAGCTTTTCGTATCCTGGCTTGTGTCCTTTTTCCTCTAAATGAAAGAATCCCATGATGCTTTGGTTTTTCGATTCAAAATTGATCTTTCTGTTTTCTCTGTAAGGGCTTTTTGTCACTGCATTGTCAACTGAATTGACAAGGACTAGCCCCAAAAAGAAACCCCATACTCATTAGCAGTTACCACCCATTTCCCCTTTCACTGAAGCTTCTGGCAATCACTTACCTATTTGTCTATGAGAATCATACAATTATGTAGTCTTTTGTGACTGGCTTCTTTCACTTAGTGTTTTTAAGGTTCTTCCATGTTGTAGTTTTCATCAGTATTTCATTCCTTTTTATAATGAATGATATTCCACTGTATGGATATACTGTTTAACTTATCCATTTATCAACTGACGGATATTTAATTTTTTTTTAATCCTCATCCGAGGACATTTTTCCATTTTTTGTTCAGAGAGAGTGGAAGGAAGAGAGAGAGAGAGAGAGAGAGAGAGAGAGAGAGAGAGAGAGAGAGAGAAACATCAATGTGAAAGGGACACATCGAGTGGCTACCTCCCCCATGACCCCACCAGGGCCGGGGACAAACTGTGCCCTTAGGGGAAACCGAACCCGGGTCTCTCTGGACTGCAGGCCAACACTCTTAACCACTAAGCCAAACCGGATGGATATTTAAATGTTTCCACTTTTGGCTTCTGTGAATAATGCTGTACATTTGTATACAAGTTTTTGAGTGGATGTATGTTTTAATTTCTCTTGGACATATATTTAAAAGTAGAATTGCTGGACCATATGGAAAATGTTTAACCTTTTGAGGAACTGCCATACTTATTATTCAAAGCAATTGTGCCACTTTGCATTCCCACTAGCAATGCATGAAGGTTTCAATTTCTCCACGTCATCACGAACACTTATCTTTTGATTACAGCTATCCTAGCATGAAGCAGCACTTCACTGGGGTTTGATTTGCATTTCCCTAAAGGCTAATAATGTTCAGCATCTTTTTATGTGCTCATTGGCCATATATATATATATATATATATATATATATATATATATATATATATATCTTAGGAGCCATTTTTAAAATTGAGGTCTTTTTAGTGTCTAGCAACCTCTCCCCCAATTTTATTTTATTTATTTATTTATTTAAATATGTTTTTATTGATTTTTTAGAGTGAGAAGAAGGAAGGGAGAGAAAAACATCCATCAGCTGCCTCCACACCCCCTACTGGGGATCGAGCCCACAACCCGGGCATGTGCCCTGACCAGGAATCCAACCGGGAGCCCTCAGTCCAAGGGACAATGCTTAATCCATGCCCCCCCCCACCCATTTTAAATCATCATACCTCAAGGATCTCTTCAGGTTTATCCAGGAGGCACCTTGCTCAGTCTGGGCTTAATATACATCCCTAATTAGTGACACTCAACCCAGCCTTAAAAAAAAGAACTGCCATCAAAGTACTGGTTAGTTCCTGAGAGCCAGCTCCCCGTCTGCAGATGGCAGTGCTAAACCACATGACCCCAACTGAGTACTTAGGTACCCAATATAATTTAAAGCATACCATGAGAACAGTGCAGAAATCCCTGGCAAGCTCAAGAATCCCTGATTCAACTGTACTTTAAAATACAAAGGACCTTGCCCGGTGGTGATGTTCAGTGGTTTGAGGGTCGTCCCATTGACTAGGAGGTCCTGGTTTGTTCCCAGTCAGGGCACATGCCTAGGTTGCAGGCTTGATCCCCAGTAGGGGGCGTGCAGGAGGCAGCCAATCAATGTTTCTCCCTCACATTGATGTTTCTATC